CAGATGTAATACATAGGAATCAAACTGACTACATCTGTGGAAAGACAGGATGGAAAAGCTCAATATCATCAGCCAAGACAAGGTCAGGGATAAACAGTGAAACCGTTTATCAACTGCTTATAGGCAAGTTCGGGAAGAAGCTGAAAAAAAAAAAGAAAACAAGCCCATGAGAGCCAAAATATGACCCTGAACATATCCCACCTGAATTTACAGACCATCTCAAGAACATATTAGCTGCATTAGATACTAATGAATGAAGATCAGAGAGTTGTGGAATGACAGAAAGAACATCATAGAGGAAAAAATAAAAAGGTCATTAAAAAGGCAGCAAAGAAAGAAAAGACCAAAGTGGATGTCAGAAGAAGACACTTTGCAACTTGTTCTCTAGCATAAAGATGCTAAAGTAAATGGAAGAAATGAGGAAGTAAAAGAGCTGAAGAGAACATTTTAAAGGGCAGCTTAAGAAGACAAAGTCAATATTAAGTATTTGAATGGAATGTGCCAGAACATGGAGATAGACAACCAAAAGGGAAGAACACACCCAGCATTTCTCAAGCTTAAAGAACTGAAGAAGAAATTAAAGACAACTTGAAATATTAAAGAATTTTAGGGGCAAAATATTGAATGATATAAAAATCATAAAAGATTATGGAAGAAATATACAGAGTCACTGTACCAAAAAGAAATGGTTGATGTTCATCCATTTCAAGAGGAAGCATATGATCAAGAACTGTGGTACTGAAGGAAGAAACCCAAGCTGCACTGAAGGGATTGGCAAAAACAGGGCTCCATGAATTTATAGAATACACATTGAAATCTTTTAACAAACTGATGTGGCACTGAATGCACTCACTCATCTTTGCCAATAAATTTGGAAGACAACTACTTGGCCAATTGATTGGAAGAGATCCATATTTGTGCCTATTCCAAAGAGAGGTGACCCAATAGAATGTGGAAATCATCGAACAATATTATTAATATTACATGCAAGTAAAATTGTGCTGAAGATAATTTAAAAATGACTGCAACAGTACGTTGGTAGGGAACTGCCAGAAATTCAAGTCAGATTCAGAAGAGGACGTGGAACAAAGGATATCACTGCTGACATTAGATGGGTCTTGGGTGAAAGTAGAGAATACAAGAAAGATGTTTACTTGTGCCTTATTGACTATGCAAAGACATCCAACTGTGTGGCTCTTGACAAGCTATGAATAATGTTACAAAGAATGGGTATTCCCAAACATTCAGTTGTGCTCATGAGGAACCTGTACATAGATAGACCAAGAGGCAGTCATTGGCATTGAGCAAGGGGATACTGAATGGTTTAAATCAGGACAGGTGTGAGCCAAGATTGTATTCTTTTACCATACTTATTCAATCTGTATGCTGAACAAAATAATCCAAGAAGCTGGATTATATGAAGAATGTGGCATCAAGATTGGAAGACTCATTAGCAATCTGTGATATGCAGATGATACAATCTTGTTTTGTGGGAGCAAAAAGGACTTAAAATACTTACTGATGGCAAGAAACATTCCCACCCCCTCCACACACAGAGTGGATGGAGATGGGCAACTGGGACATTGGATACTCAAATGGGGAGGAGGGGACTACAAAGGCAAGAAGTGACTGGCTTACAAGCTTTCAAAAGGGAACCTAGTGCTAGGGAGCATGGAGGAAGGCAGAATCTCCACTGGGTACAATTCAATCTTTCTGGGTGGAGCTGATGAAAAGAGGTACAGATGGGTAACTCGTGCTACTGTAGTGAATAATGCTTATCAGGACGGAGAGTGAGGGTTGGAAATGCAAAGGTAGAAGTTTTGTAACAAGGAAGGGAGTGATTAATTCTCCAGGATAGGAGCAGAGATCTCTGGGACCATCAATGGAGAAGAGCCAAGAGCGGGACCCTACCCAGAGAGATAGAGATGCCTGAGATAGAGACAGAGACGATGATGTGGAGTGATGAAGCGGCGGGGGACTTTGGATCCAGAGAGGGAAAGAGACTGTGGGCCGAAAACTGGGGGGGGGGGGGTGGGGGGGTGGGGGGGAAGGGTAGGGGGCGGATTTCTAGGATATACTCTTTGGTTGGTTGATGATGCGTGGAGGGGATTGGAACCATGGCAATGAGATGATATACGATGGAATGAATGTAAAACTAAAGCTCTTTCATGTAAACTATCATATAATGCACAATAAAACATTAAAAAAACAAAACAACTTACTGATGAAGATCAAAGACTATAGCCTTCAGTATGGATTGCACCTCAATGTAAAGAAAACAAAATTCCTCACAAGTGGACCAATGAATAACATGGTAAATGGAGAAAGGACTGAAGTTGTCAAAGACTTCACTGTGCTTGGATCCACAATCAACACTCATGGAAGCAGCAGTCAAGAAAGCAGACTACATATTGTATTAGGCACATCTTTAACATATGCAAGAGCAAAGGACTAGGGTGTATCTGACTCAAGTTATGGTATTTTCAGTAGTCTTATATATGTGAAAGTTGGCCAATGAATAAAGAAGAATGTAGAAAAATTCAAACATTGAGTTGTGGTGTTGGAGAAGAATATTGAAAGTACCATGGACTACCAGAACAAAAAATAAATCTGTGTTGGAAGAAGTACAGCCAGAAAGTTCCTTAACTGTACATGTAGGGGTTGAGTTAGATAGCACTGAAGACACAGCTCCAAAACCAAGGTGCCCTCAGCGTGCCTACAAAAACCAGCCACAATAACCAACATATATAAAAGTCTGACAACAAAAACACAAATAATCCAATCATAAAATGGGCAAAGGACTTGAATAGGCATTTCACCAAAGAGGACATTTAAATGGCCACCAAACATGAACAGATGCTGTGCATCATAAGCAACCAGAGAGATGCAAATCTAAACCACAAGATACCATTTCACTCCCACTAGGATAGCTGTGGACCACATGGTTGGTTTGAACCACAAGATTGGTGATTCAAACTCACCAGCTGCTCCCTGGAAACCCTATACGTTATGAATCAGACATACTTGACAGCACTTAACAAGAAGAGTTCAGAGACAAGATGAGGTACTGTAGGATAAGCACTGGACTGCTAGCTGCAAGGTCAGGGCTCAAATCCACCAGTTGTTCCCCTGAAACCCGATACAGTGTTGCTATGAGTCAGAACTTACTTGATGGCACTTAACAATAACAACAACAGGAAGGCTAAAATAAAAGGAAACAAATGTTGCATAGTGCCTTGGGTCCTAAAAACTTGCTAGTGGCAATCCAAGGCACAACAATTGGTTTCTAGTAGTCTGGAACAACAGGAAGGAGAGTCCGAAATAGGAAGATACATAATGTGTGGCTAATTGCCTTCATGAACACCTGCTTCCTTTGCCAAAAGACCAGAAAAACTGCATGGTGCATTCCTGAACATTTTGATCAGAGATTCTATAAAAGAATCCTTATTAAAAGGCACAGAATTTCAAATTTTCATTCTCATGGACTACAGATTACCTGGGGAGTTCTGGTGTGGTTGCAGGATACTTCACAGAACCGAAAGGTTGATTTGAACTGCAAGGTCAGAAGTTCAAACTCACCTGCCGCTCCTATATAGGGTCGCTATGAGTCGGAACCAACTTGATAGTACTTAACGACAACATGGAGTCATGAAGATTGGATGAACCTCTGAATCTTTTGCCCTTAGATAATCTTTAAACTTTAAACCGAAAATATCCCCTGAATTCTTAAAACCAAACAATAGTTTAGCGTAAGTAGCAAAGAATGTCTGCCTTGAGCATTATACCCTTTTAAGAACTATCTATATCGGATCAAATTGACAACAGCAATTCAAAAGATTTGATAGGAACAACTCAGAAAAGGGGAATGAGAATGCTTATGCAACTCGAAGAATGTAGTTAATGTCACTAAATGTAGAAACTGTTGTAGAAATATGGTGTATGTTTTGCGGTGTATATTGTCAACAATAAAAGAAATAAATTATACATAAAAGGAGCCTTGGCAGTGTATTGGATTACGAGTGGGGTTGCTAACCGCAAAGTAGGCAGTTTGAATCTATCAGTTGCACCGAGGGAGAAAGACAAACCTTTCTGCTTCAGTAAAGATTTAGTCTCAGAAACCCTACACAGGGTTGCTATCAATAGGTACCAACTCATTGGTGCACAACCACCACCATACACACACAAACACACACACACACACACACATACCCACTAGTTGCTGTCAAGTTATTTTTGACTTATGACGACCCCAAGTGTTTCAGAGAGAACTGTGCTCCAGAGGGCTCTGAATGACTGAGTTTTCAGAAGTAGATCACCAGGTTTTTCATCTGAGATGCTTCTGGGTGGATTTAAACTTCCAACCTCCAGTGTAGCAATGGAGTGTATTTACCCAGGGACTCAGGGCCCCCATAGTACTTACAGATCAGGGCCAGTCTTGTGCCATGCCATCACTGACCACTCTCCTTGGAGAGTGAGTCCATAGGGCTTGGGGTTGTACTGTTTGCAGATCACTGAAAATGGTACATCCCAGAGGTAGAAAGCTTGAGTGCATCATTCTGTGTCCTTAAGTGGTCTGCGTGAGCAGAACACACAGCACAGAGCCTGTGGGCTCGCACTGTGGAACAGTCATTGTATCCAGGGCCCAAGCAACACGTACCTGAGCTCTGTCTTGTGAATCTCAGCGATTTTCCTTTCCAGCTTCTCTGAATGTTTAGGGAAGAACTGGAATTTGGAGCTGTAACCTTCAGGATGTTTCCCTGGATCATAATCCCCAATCTCCGCTTTAAAAAGGAAGGTAGAAGAAAATGATTGTGGAGACAGGTAAACCATTACTGGCAAAGCAACCAAGAGACTAACACGTAGAGCAAAAGCTAAAGCATGAATCATATTTACAAAGGACAGTAGATTCTGAGTCTGGCTATGGGTCAGAGAGGGCAGAGGGCAGAAAAGTAGATCCCTCAGGAGCATGCCCATCTTTGTTTTCCTCCTGGGTTGACATTCACATTAAAACAGAGATAGTAATATTGACCCTGTGTTCTGAGAGTACTATAAATAAATTTGTGTTAAAAGAGCAATGGCTTGAGACACTGTCCTTATCCATTCAACTATAAGAGGGTCTGGGATTGTTGCTCTTTGTGGTAATACAGGAAACTGAGTTTGACCAGGCAGACAGAACCTCTTGGGCCTGAGCCAAATCAGAAGTCTTAATCTTGTTTTTGAGGTTTGATTGATGAAACAGCTGTGATCTAAGCTCAGAACTCAACTTTCAGTCCCCAAGTCAAATCAAATGAATAAATCTGATAGCTGACCAGATGGATGCCAAGCACCTTCAAGAGAACTGAAGAGTTAGAAGACTTGTAACCAGTAAGTATCCCAGAGTTCAGGAGCAACTACGTACAAAGGCTGATTTATCGATTATCTGCCTCGTGCAGCTTTCTTCTCCCACCATTGACAGAGAGAGTCCAACTCAACTATCCCTAAAGCTACTGACCCATGGTGCTCTCCACATGAAGCACTGAGAGGGAATATGGTGGTTGGAAGAGGGTGGAGAAGGTTCCAGATGCTTTGTGGTTGTCCTCTTTCCTTCCTTGTGAGAGCCACAAGCAGTTCAGATGAGAAGGATTGAGGGAGGAACAAACACTGAGAGGGAAACTTGCCTTTTTCTCACAGTTGAATATTGTACTTGTGTCTGCCACTCTTTCACCACAAATATTCAGTGTCTTCCAAATTACTTGGGAATTTCTGTCTTTAGCAAGAGATTAAAGGCTTTCTTGACCCTGTCCAGAGGGACTCTAAGGTATGAAGTCATTGATTATGATTTTATTTAAAAAATCCTAAGTAGAAAAGCTCAATGTTGAACAGCAAGTACTTCTTTAAAGGATAAAACAAAACAGAAAAGTTCAATACAATTATCCAGGTAAAACTAAAGAAAAGAATGGGGTTTAAAATTCCACTTAGATTGGCTTTCTCTTTAAAAGTGCTAAGGGACATCTTTGGATACCTTAGAGTTAGCAAGCTCCTATACACTTCTCATTCTCATTTAAGAGGTTTTTGTTGTTTTTTAAGCAGGGGTCTCAGAAGTCAAGGCTTCAATGGACTGATATTTATATTCCTTAACACAGCTGTGATATTTCTTTTGCCAAAGGGACTTTAGTTTCTTACTGACTAAAACTTTCTTGTCTCTCTTTCCATAACAGCTTCTGAGAGTTCACAGAAATTCATTTCTAGTTACTAGTCCAGATTCTTGGACGGACCCTTCATGTTAATGCTATGGCCATGAATGATACAGTGGTAATGGTAGTTTCAGGTGTGAAGAAGAGAAATCTAGGAAGGCATTAAATAACTTCCTGCACTTCAGGAAAGACTCCCTTGTGAAAAGTGTGTATCAAATTTATCACACTGTTTTGCAAAAAGCCAGTCTGGGCATCAGGTTAATTATTAGCATTTTAGGAAATGTGCTTGTTACTAAGAAACATTTTTAGCTTTGAGCACTCTGAACTAAAAGGTCTCTGAAATAGATAGCAGATTCTTCACATGTTGGAAATTTGCATGAGAGGGGAGGAAAAGATTGATTCAGATTACTCCCCAGAGTCTCAGTAACCCTATCAACGCAAGAAACAGGGCAAATCCTCAGACAGTGTCAGAATGACTGGTAGAAAGACCTCAAGTACAATTTAGTGAGTGTTCAGTGCTGTCTGGCTCTAGAGTCTGGGCAAAATCCTCTAGCTTGGACTGTGCTTTGGGTTAGATGCTCTCTATATCCAAGAAATAGTTGTCTGTGGCAACTGAAATAATGTAATCTGTACTTAGCATGAAAAGCAAATTTATCCTGTCAAAAGCCATTACCTTGAAGGATATAGGCTGCTAACAAGGCAGCATCTGATGTTTTACAGAGGAGGCGGCCATGGTAGAGGTCCCTTTTGATCTGTAGAAAGACTAAATACCTGGAGAGAAAACAGAGAATGAACTTGAAAGGATTTCTTTGATTGCTTTAAATATATAAATATGTAATAAAAACCTATCAAAATTTTTGTCAGGACTCTCTTACTGCATTAAAAAAAAAACAAAAAACAAAAAACTCAAAACATACCATAGGAAACAAAATGTTTTCCATTTCCCTGAAGATTCTTTCATGTGCTTTACTCTGAACTGATTTGAGGCTCAATTCAAAACAATCTGTCAGTTTCCTTCTGTAGCTCAAAACAGAGTGTCATTTCCTGGTAAAGGCATTGTCCCTCAGCTCTGGGCTCTAAAAGGCGCTAACTCCCATCAATCTCCTGCCAGAAACAAAAGCTGTGCCGTCAGAAAAGGGTAGCTTGGCTCTTTCTCCACCTTGGACTTGTTGCTGTTGTTAGTGTCATCAAGTCAGTTCTAACTCTTAGCAACCCTGTATAGGATTTCCAAGGAGCGGCTTTTGGATTTGAACTGCTGATCTTGAAGTTAACAGTCCAGTGCTTATCCTACAGTGCCACATCAGGACTCCACCTTGGACTTACATTCTTTAATAAAGGTGGAATGGTATGTGAAGTAAATAACCAAAGGAAGAGTTCAGCCTTGGTTTGCCACAAACATCTGTTCCTATGAAGAAACAGCTTTCAATTATTTGGCAGAGTTCAACCAGACCTCTCAGAATTTGTATAAGGTATAAGAAGACGCACTGATGAAGGAAACAAAAACATTAAGCAGAAAGCTGTAGCCTTCCCTTCAGATATACAAAGCTCTCATCTTTGGTCAAAGCCAGACATCGCTAGCTAATAGTAGCTGACATGTAACGAGCACGTACTGTCTGCCACTCCAGGTGTTACATCCGTGACATGTAATACCTCATTTCTCATATGACACTTTGAGGTCCCAGAATCCATTGCTGTTGAGTCAGTTTTGACTCAGAGTGACCCTATAGGACAGAATAAAATGGCCCCAAAGGATTTCCAAAACTTTAAATCTTTATAGGTGTCAACTGTGACAGCTTTCTCTCACAATGTGGCTGATGGGTTCAAACCTCCAACCTTTCAGTTAGCAGTCAAAGACACTTCGAGATAGGTACTATGAATACCCTCACTTATAGACAGAGAAACAGAACGGAAGTTTACATGATTTTCTCACAGACATACAACTAGTTAAGTGGCAGATCTAGGATTCAAATTCAGAATGGTTGGACTCCTGAGCTTGGCTCTTAATCACTATGCTATGGAACCACTATGTGATGAAAGCAGTGCCAGCAGTATTTCAAATACCAGCAGGGTCATCATGGTGGGCAGGCTTCAAACTAAGTCTGAGAAGAAAGACCTGATGATAGATTTCTGAAAATTAGCCAATGAAAACCCTGTGGATCACATGAGAATATCATCCTTTGTAGTGCTGAAAGAGCTGCCCTCTGGGTTTGAAGGCACTGGAAATACACAGTGGCTGTAACAATGGACTCAAGCACACCAACCGTTGTGAAGATGGCACAGGACTAGGTAATGTTTCATTCTCCTATACATGAGTCACCATGAGGTGGCGCCAACTTGATGGCAACTAACAACAGAAACAATAGACTATCCTTGCACTGTAACGGCTTTCTAGTTTCACTGAAAACCAAACCAAACTCATTGCTAAGCCAATTTTGGCTCATAGCAAACTTAAAATACAGAGTAGAACTGCCCCATAGAGTTTCCAAGACAGTGACTTTTACTGAAGCAGACTGCTGCATCTTTCTTTCATGGATTGGTTGGCAGGTTTGAACTGCCAACCTTTGGGTTAGCAGTTGTATGCTTTAAACCATTATGCATTGGGACAGAATTGCCAACTTTGCAATGTCTTTACCAGGGGACGGATTTCTGGAGTTCATAATCTCACAAGTGCCCTAAGAAGGGCAAAAAAAACAGGAGTATCAAATCCTTGAGTGAATCAGGTTATCACACTGGTTTGTTAACCAACTAGCATCTATGGTGGTTTAAAAAGCAATGTACACAAATTCTTTAGTACTCCTAATTTCAATTGTTGTTGTTGTTGTGAAGTGCCAGCGAGTCAGTTCCAACCCGTAGCGACCCTGTATATAGTTTCTGAGGAGCAGCTGGTGAGCTTGAACTGCCAACCTTGCAGTTCAAACGGCTTTGCAGTCTGGCGCATTAACCCATAGTGCCACACCAGGACCCCTCCTAATTTCAGTAGGTAGTGCTTAATTCCATTCCTTTGAATGTGAGTTGGACATAGTGGTTCACATCTAGCAAATAAAACAAGACAGAGGGGCTAGTGTCTGACTTCTCAGATTTGGTCAGAAAGGTATTGCAATTTCCTCTTTGTTCTCTTAAATGACTCACTCTGTTGGAGACACTCAAGAAGGCCTATAAAGAGATCCACGTGGCAAGGCACTGAAGGTTTTGTCAACAGCAAAAACTGCTGCTAAGAGTCATGTGAGTGGCTTGGAATGGTTCCTCCAGCCTCAATCAAACCTTCAGATGACTGCAGTCCTGGCCAACCTCTTGACTATAACCTCCTATGAAACCCTAAGCCAGAGATATCCAGCTAAGCGTCTCCAAAATCCCAGACCCACAGAAACAGTAAGATAATAAATGTTTGTTATTCTAATCTAAAGGCGCTCTGGTAGCGTAGTGGTTATGAATCGGGCTGCGAACCTCAAGGTCAGCAGTTCAAAACTAGCAGCTGTTCCACAGGAGAAAGATAAGGCTTTCTACTCCTGTAAAGATTTGCAGCCTCAGAAACCCTGTACAGGGTCGCTATGAGTCGGAACTGACTCCACGGCACAGAACAACAATTCTAATCTAAGCTTTGGAGTAATTTGTTATACAGCCATAGACAGCTACAGTGTTCTTAAGAAAGTACTAGAACTGTATGTAGTGTTGTTGTTAAGTGCAGTCGAGTCAGTTCCGACCCATAGCGACCCTGTATAGGGTGTCTTAGGAGCGGCTGGTGAGCTTGAACCGCTGAACTTGCAGTTCAAACAGCTTTGCAGTCTGGCGCATTAACCCACAGTGCCATACCAGAATTGTATGTAGTAAACTCCCTTAAATCTGTTCCTCTGAACCAAAAAGAAATTGGGGCCTCCCTGAACAAATGGTGCTTTCCATTGCTTCTGTTTTCAAATTGAAGAATGAGACAGAGATGCCATGCCCACTTGATCATGTGAAAATGCCCAAGAGAAAGAGGAACTTTAACTGTGTAACTTCTGAAAGGTGGTGAGGAGAAGGACCGGCAGGTGACCGTGAGAGTCTTGGGTTTGGTGATTCATGTAATCAGCAAACAAATGAAGGTGCAAACCAACCTTTTGAGGGCCTTGCTGCTCAAAAGTATGGCCACATAACAAGAGGATCAAGATCACCTGGGAGCTTGTTGGAACTGCAGACTATTATGCTCATCCTTGATATACTGAATTGTAATCTGCCTTTTTACAACACACCCAGGTGATTTGTATATAAAATTTAAGAAGCACTGTATTAAGAAAGTGGGAGAAAGATGTGGTAGTTTGTTTCTGTAAAGAGTTATAGCCTTGGAGCTTTGGGAACCCAAGGGGCAGTTCTATTCTGTCTTATTAGGGTCTCTTACGAGTTGGAACAACTCATCAGCACTAAGTTTGGTTGGGTTGGTTCTAAGCAAATTTAAAAGCATTCTTGTGACCACATCAAGGTGGACTGCCCTCCTCAGACCAAGGGAAGGTGAATACTGTAGTCAGGAATTCAATAATATATTCTCCTCCCTTTCCCCTACTCTACCCCAGTGTTTGCCAGGAGAAAGGCATCATAGAGAGTGAATAATTAAGATGGATCTACGAAATCAAGCCTTTTGTCACTCTGTTTCCACAGTGAAATGCCACACGGTGTGTGGGAGAGAGCGAGAGCACTTTTCTGCCTCTCACTGTTCCAACTCCCACCTTCCGCAAGCTTTGGCAGGATGTAGATGCAAACCTTTCGCCCCTTACTCACTGATCAGTCCCTGGGCCTGTGTTCATGCATCATACCTCCCACGCCTCTCTACTTGTGTCCAAAATTCACAAGCAATGTCTACTTGGTTAGAGGAGATACTTCAATGGGAAATCAAAGCTCTGGGCAGTCATTCTGAATGTTATATAGCGAGGACTGGCCCCCTGGAAGCATGTCAGAATCTTTAAGAACAGCTTCGAATTTGCTCCCACCCCCATCATGCGTACCTTCACCTCCTCGCACTAAGAACCATTGCTGTGATTAACCATCATGTTTGATGGGCACATGGCAAATGCCTCAGGTGAGCTAGAATGGAAACCAGGCTGCCCACTGCTGGGCTCCTCTGGACTTCTGGTGGTAGAACAGCTATGGGAGGCCAAGGAACAATCTCTGTCAGTGACATAACAATTGGAGTTCAGGGACGACAGGGTGATGGTCAAGTCGATATCCTAAAGAAACAAACTTTAGTCTTCAGAAGACAAGAAGAGATGAGTTCATGGAATAAAGCAACTGAGAGCTCCAAGGGAAAAAGCTGCACTGGGCTTTCCCACACACTCCTCCTTTTCTCTGCCACAGCAGCTTTGTTTGGTTCATTTAAGGAGGGAACCAATGACTGAGTGTCAAAGCCACATGACTCACAGCAACCTATTTCCAGAGATATTGGGATAGTTCCCCTTGTTGCTGTGGGCTGAAGGAAAACGATTTTGTTGCCTGAGGTACTGCCACCAGGGCCACTCTGTACTGCTGCCTGGGGTTTCTTGCCCCAACTAGTTCCAGATGAACAGTCTACCTGAGTTACCCAAACTCAGCACTTTAGAACAGGTGATACAGTCATGAGAATCAAAGACTTTTGACTCCAGGCCTTCTAGAAGGAGAAGGGTGCTAAACTAAATCTGGAGAACTCTTTGTCATCAATGTGAAATTATAATTGGAACCAAAGAATGATCTGGAATTCGAACCGGATTGTTCTGATTTCTTAACCCAATGGTTGACAAACTACAGACTGCTGTCAGTTTTCAATAAAA